CTGTTCCATGTTTTTGCCATTTGTGAATAATGGCTCTCACTGTGGTTCGCTGGAGTCCCAAAGCTTTAGAAATGGCTTCATAACCCTTTCCAGACTGATACATGTCAACTATTCTGTTTCTCATCTGTTCTTGAATTTCTTTAGATGCTCTTTAAGCATCACTATTTAAGTGATTTCTAGATTCAACAGGTCTGGAAGTAATCAGGTCTAGGTGTGGCTAGTGAAATTGAACTCAGCTTTCTAAAATAATGTGCTTAATCACAGTTCTTTCATGATTTAACAGGAGGGGGCAATTATTTTTTTCACGTAGGGCCAGGTAGGTTCGGACAGCTTTTTTCCCTTAATAAATTAAATCATCATTTAAAAACTGCATTTTGGCTAGGTAGGGTGGCTCTTATAAAAATGACTGTCCTACCCAAGCTTCTGTACCCAATTCAAATGATCCCTATTCTGTTCTCTAAAAAGGTTTTCACACACACTATTTTCCTCAGCCAGTGACTTAAAAAGCTGGGTTTGGTTCGTCATTCATCAGGCTGGGTGAAGCGGTAAATACCGGACAGGTGTTGATATGCAAATGTGGGCAGGCATATGTTAATGAGCTCATGTATTATTACTGTGGTGTCAATAAATGCAAAAAAGAGTTCAGGAAGTTTCCACAGAACACCAGCCTTTTAAACCAAACAATCAAAGCCAAACAATGTGTGTTTATTTACCTTCATAATGATGAAGATGACGAGGATCACGAAGACGTTAGCCTGCGGATGTTTCCAGGCGGCCGAGTGACTGTCATAATTAAAGTCTTCCGTCATTCCTTGCTTCGTCCAAGTGCGATTGTCAAAAAATGAAACCAGGGTCTCCTTCTGTGTAAGCTATAAAAAAAACAAAATACATGTTATGAACAGAACATCTGGTATTTATTTTCTTATTTTAAACATAAACCTCTGAATATTTTTATAGTTTTATGCTTAAATGAAAACATACATTTGCTTATAGGGTATACAGGTAAGAAAATAATTTAAGATATTTTGATATTTATATGATAAAAATGTAATAAAATAAACAAATTATTATCATACATCAGAATTTCCCTGATCGTTAATTAATCATAGAAATGTAGAAATAAAATAAATAATTTAATAACAAATCATTTACATGCAAATATGACTCAGTATGAATTTTAGTTTAATTTAGATTCTATTATGGTTTTTAATAATATTTTGAATATTTTTTATTTCTATATTTTCAGTTTTCATTTTCATTTTTATTAAAATTTCAGCAATTTCATTTTAGTAATTTGTTTGAAGGTTTTTTATATGTGTCTGTACAGTATTTAATTTTTATTTTAGTTTGAGTTATTTTAGTACATCAAGTTTAAATAACATTTAAAAAATGTTGCAATGTTGCGTTTTTAATTTAACAGCAACGAAAATAATTGTTAATGGTTTACAACAGTTTTAGTTTCAGTTAACTTTAATAACCCAGATAGGAACATGCAAATGTGTTGTTAAATTATTGAAACAATAACTTAATCTCTGAATAATGATACAGTTGTCTTCTGTATATCTGCTTATAGCAAAATTAAACTAATTTCTTCATTAACTTTGGCAACCTTGAAATTAATTAAAACAACATACTAAATTGAGCTGAATAAATGACACCATTATCTTACTTAGAGCTGAATTCACATTGAATTGATCTGAACTGGTTTCATACTTGATTAATTTTACAACATTAACATAGTTACTTTCCTGTTTATTAATGCAAAGCTGCTTTGAAACAATCTGTGTTGTATAAAGCACAACAGAAATGAACTTGAGACTTGACAAACATTAACATCCTTTTTAGGGATGTTTAGATGCATTTTACTACAAAAAAAAAATACTGATTAAGATAGGATTATTTGCAGTGTTTTATAAGAGTGAAGAGTGTGTGTGTAGGCGTGTGTGTGTGTGTGAGAGAGTGTGTGTGTGTGTGAGTGTGTGTG